ATAACATACACCAAGATTGTTTTGCCCAAAACTATTTCCTCCCTCAGCAGATTTCAAATACCATCCGAAGGCCCTCTTTTTATCAATGGAGATGCCTATACCACGTTCATAACATACGCCAAGATTAAGTTGTCCATAACATTCACCATCTTCGGCAGATTTCAGATACCATTCAAAAGCTTTCTCTTGATCAATAGAAGTACCTATGCCATTTTCATAACACACGCCAAGATTATTTTGTCCTACACTAAATCCACCTTCTGCAGATTTCATAAAGTATTCAAAAGCTTTCTTAAAGTTTACAACAGTCCCTATACCATATTGATAACAACGACCAAGACTGTTTTGCCCTACACTACATTCACCTTCTGCAGATTTCATATAGCAATCAAAGGCTTTATTTTTATCTATAGAAGTTCCTAAACCATATTCATAACTAAAACCTAGATCATAATATGCTAAATAATTTCCATCATAAGCGGATTTTGTATACCATTTTAAAGCCTCGACACCATTTTTAATAATACCAATTTTGCAAAGATGTCCAACTTGAAGTTTTGCTCTCGCATTTCCTTCTATAGCAGATCCAAAATAATAATTAAATGAATATTCATAGTTTTTAATTACACCATAACCATTGTGATAACATTCACCGACATAAAATTTTCCTAAACAAGAACCCTTAGCAATAGATTTTAAAAATAGTTGTAGTGCTTTCTGTTGATTTGCTCTAACGCCTTTTCCATCTATATAAAGCAAGCCAAGAGAAATTAATCCAATGAGTTGATTTTCATTTAATAAATCTCTTGTTAAAGGAAAGATTCCATGCCAATTTGAAGTAAAATGAAAATTTTCTGCTGCCTGTCTATACATATTAAATGCTTTACGATAATTAACAATTGTTCCAATTCCATGTTCGTGAAAAAAGCCAATAATGCTTGTAAAGAAATATCCATACTGGTGATTATAATATTGTTTTAGAATTTCATCAGAATTCTTTTTATTTTCATCTATATATTTCTTTATACAATATATTATTGAATTTGTTGTATATTTTGAAGCACTTTGTATTTTGAATTGGGTTATAAATAATTGATTTAAATCGTAAAGAAGATTTTGCTCATCTTGTTTACTCTTGCTAAATTGAGGTAACTGAATTTTTGTGGTAATATTTGAGGTAGGCAAGCAATTTGATAAATTTAATCGGCTAATCTGATTATTTAATAAACTATCTTCATCTAAGGCTTCATTGAGTATTGTAATAATTGAAGAAATAAATTTTAATTCTTTGTCGGTTTCATTATACAAATTTGTATAATGAGTTAAAGAAAGAGCCGCTGTATCTGAACCTTTCATTTCTGATGCTAATTGATCTTTATTCTCTTCGTCTTTATCGCATTCTATAAATATTTCATCTTCATTATAATCAATATTATTTAGATCTTTATAAATATGTTGAATTGTTGGGCGTTGGCTTGAATCGTTCTGCCAGCATTCTAAAAGTAAATAAAAGATTTCTAATGTTAGTTATGTTATTAAAATCATATATATTATAATTATATTATTTAAATTACCTGTATAGATTTTGACATAATTTTTAGGTGTTCCTGAAATTGCAGCTTCACGTCTACCATGAGCGATTGCATTTAATAAACTATAACTATAAGGAACATCGTTTTCAAAGGGGATAACGCAGCTTGAAATTTCCCAAAGAAGAACACCAATACTGTATATATCAGAGCTTTTATTAAGTTTGTAAGCTTCAAGATCTTTTAAATATTGAGGATCTACGTATTGTATATTTTTAAATACATCTAAAACTTTATTCTGATATTGAAAAGCTATTTTAATGACCCCTTTGTGAATAAATATTTTTTCTGAATTCTAAATGATTTAAATATATAGAAATTTATTATTAGATCATTATTTAGAAAATAAATGGTTTAAAATAAAAACATACCAAATTAGTATGAATAACGTCATTTTCATGAAAATACTTTATAGCATTAACAAGCTGTCTTGCAAGGCGTAGCTTATCATTCCAATTAATCTTGCTTGAATTTTGGTTCAAATATTGAC